TAGTTGAACTATGGCTTCGGAAGAGGCCTACAACAGTCCCTATCATTTAAAAAACTGCCAGGATATGTAGTCAATTCCACATCTCGCTGAAACACGCTAGGCAGTTAAAGACCTTGTTTGGTACAGTCCCATCTCACAGCAGTGCTCAGCTCCTGCTACCCACCCTTAGAAAATGGATCGTGGGTCAGTAAGACACAGAAGCTGTGACTGTTGCCTTTTCTCTGTGGTAAATATAGAGAAAACATCAAATTGCAAAAGTAACGCCTTACATTGAAGGCTTGGTCTGATGAACAATTTATATAGAAGCTTCACAAAATCGGTATATTTCAACTCTTTAGGACTTTGTCACTTTTTCATGTAAACTCAAGGCCTTCTTGAAAGGGACTTTGTCTTCACTTGGGAATCTTTATTCCTTCTTTGCAAAACAAATCTGGAGTCTTTGGTCTAACATGTTCATTTACCTGATTTCTCAGCGATGGCACCTTCAGACTCGATATTCAAATTTTCAGAGCTATCAGCAGTCCCTATGGAGGCCTCAGACTCAAGGGTTTCATCATCAGAGGCACGGGGTTCCAGTACAAGCATCTCAAAAGTTAGCTCTTCCCTGTAAGATACAATCAAGAAACGCCTTATCATTTGATAAGAAATGGAAGGAAGACAACAGGGAAAAAGACCTTCCGTGAAAATCAGGAATTGAGGTAGCAAAAATAGTCACATTTCTTACTGTTCCTTTCCAGGGTGGTGATAAGGACCAGAAAGCACAGTCACAGTGAAGGCTAAAGACAGCAAAGGCTGGGACCTATAACGGGGCTAAGCATGAGGTAGAGAAAGATGCTGAAGCTACGAGACCTTCTGGTAAAATGAACTCTGGGCTGGTAATCAGGAGATGATTCTAAACTCACTCTAAACTTATTCATAATGTATCAGGAAAGTACTTTCCTCTCTCTGGACCTCAACTTTCTCATCCACAAAACAAAGAGATTAAACTAGATAGTCTCTAGGATTCCTAGATGAAGTAAAATACTGATTGACCTTTTCTGTCCTTTGACAAGCCTTTGCCATCTCCACGTTAAGAGTATTCTCTACTCCTCCTCACCCATCACCCACCTACCTCTCAGTCATGCCCCCTCATTCCCTGAAGTCTTTGGTACTTGGCTCCTAATCTCGCTTTCTCACTACTGCCTGACACCACCCTGACCTATTTCAATCCACATCTTTGTGAAAGCTCGCATTAATACTCTAAAACCAAAGTTCCTTTACGTAACAACCTCTCCTCCACTTTATATAGGCAATTTTCTCCAATGGGCAGATCCTAGAGTTTGTCAATCCAGTCCTCCACTCTGTCCACAATCTCCTTATCCTTCCAACTGTAACTCCGTTTTTCATCAAGTCTCCTCCCTTTCAGAGCCCTTGTAGCTTCTCTTCCACTCTACCTAGCTTTAAATTATTCATCCCTTAATACCTCCAACATCTAGCTTGAGATTCATGGACAATCTCTTCAAGGACAGTCTCACCAGCAACTCATTACTGCATTTACAACTGTCATAAGCAGTGTGCATTCACACCTCTAAGACTAGGCTCATACGTTTTCCTTTCTCTGGAAAGACTTTTCACCTTCCTAGCAAATTCCTATTCACCCTTCAATACTTCCAATGCCATTTTCATCAAAGCTGAATTAGGTCCTCTTTTCAGATCATTTTTATATCAAATAGCTAGCCCCTGGTCAAAGTAGACCACTTTTGCCTTACCATGTTCAGCACACCTGAGCCCTAGCTGCCTTTTTTAGCTTGCCCAAATTCTAGATTCAATCCTGACAGGCAAAAAAGTACTTTAACAGACTCATAACCTCTCATGAATCAAGCTCTCAGACCTAGGATTCTGGGATCCTGGGAAATCAGGAACAAAAATCCCCTTAAAACATAAGAGTCATCATTGTCAACCAAAACCACTAAACAGTACCTTCAGGGAGAACCATGGGATGTTCACATTATCCCCAAGATGTAGGGATACCCACTCCTGCTCCAGTGATGGTAGAGGTCACAGAGCGGCTTATGTGTCGCCTAAATTGCAACCAATGTACCTACCTAGTATCCCAGCACCCACTAGAGTTGCTGCCTTACCCTGACCAGCCAGTTGCTGGCCCCATAGCTATATTGATCTTCAGATAATAACCTTCCTTTATGGAGTTCTGAATAGTCTTAGCCTGGGAATCCTTATTCCTCCTTTTTAAGACAAATCTGTTCACCAAGGCTGGTGACCTGTTAGGGATCTTGGCTAAGACTGACACAGCCTGTCCCAGTAGCATCTCCAGAATCATCACACTGTAGCAGCTTCAGTTTGGTCTCCCAGCTCACAGAGCAACCTTCCTTGAGATGACAACTTTCACATTGCCACCTGAGTACAGGCAACATGTCTTTGTCATCTCCACATCCCCTATATCACCTAACCTAGTGCCTGACTCACAATAAGGAAGAATAAAAAAAGGACAGAAGGAAGGAAATGAAAACAGATAACTAGTTGCTCCCTTTCCCCCTGGAAACTCACTTTTCTTTCTGCAGGTTCTCAATCTGCTCAGTCAGGACTCTCTCCTCCTGCTGCATAGCTGCTTGCTGCTGTTCTGTGATGTCAGCCTCCAGCGCTGCCTCACTAGTCAAGGTCTCTTCTGGGACATCAGACATGGAGGGCAACCGAACTACAACAGGAGAGGACGGGCATGGATAGTTTCCTCGACGAAGACGCCCCTTTCCCTGCAAAGAAAAATATATGTTAAAAGGTAAACTGAGTGACTGATCAGTTTTACTTGGCCCAGTCAGGATAACAAGTGTACTACTTCCATCACACCTGGTGAATGCTAGGAATAAGCAGAAACATTCTGTGACACCTAAGATATTTAGTGGGATACCATCCATCGAACACATTTAGGTTAAGCATTTTCTTGCAAGAGCACTGGAAAATGGGTACGTTGGTGGGTGGGAGTGTAAGAACACACTGTGTACTGAGACAAGATTTTTCTTTTAATCTAAGCTGCATCCCCTCCAAACTAAATATCCACACATGGCTATTTAAATTAATTAATTAAAATAAAATTGGGGGTAAGGCGGGGAGGGATAAATTGGGAGATTAGGATTGACACTACTATATGTAAAATAGATAACTAATAAGGACCTCCTGTATAGCACAGGGAACTCTCTACTCAATACTCTGTAATGGCCTGCATGGGAAAAGAATCTAAAAAAGTGGATATATGTATATGTATAACTGATTCACTTTGCTGCACACCTGAAACTAACACAACATTGTAAGTCAACTATACTCTGATAAAAATTTTTTAAAAATTACATAGAAGTAAAAATTTAGTTCTGCGTTCACACTAGCCAGGTTTCAAAAGCTCAACAGCCACAGGTGGCTAGTGACTACCATATTGAACAGTGCAGATGTAGAACATTTCCATCATCGAAGAAAGTTCTGCTCTATAACTTTAACCTTGGAATATACAGTCTCTCTAGGAAGACTATAGAAACAGGTCCTAAAACTCAGTTTTATTTTTTTTAAAAAGTCATTTATATATTACAGGGTGTTAGTGAGAGATATTCTCTAAGAACAACTCAAGAAACTTCTTTCTTGAGATCAGAGGGGGAAAAAAATCTCTTTGTTTTAATTGGTTACCTTGCACAGAACTTTCACTTCTGATAATGGCAGACTAGGTATTTAAAATTAAACCTCCTGCTGAGAACAACTGGACCAAACACAAAAAACCCAACATATTCTTGAAGGCACCAGAGAGCTAATAAGGTAGACCAAGATGAGGTTAGCTCAGCATTCAGGGCTAATTTAAACTTAAGAAGAGGTGGATGAGAGTCTGAGCAGAGCTTTTGACCGACTACAGCAGGAGTCAGCAAATTATGGCCCCTGGGCCAAGTCTGTCCTTGTGCCTGATTTTGTAAATAAAGCTTTACTGAAATGCCTTCATGCTCATTAATTCACGTACTGTCTATGGCTCTTCTGCAGAGTAATGGTAGCACTGATGGTTGCAAAAGATCCTATGGTCCACAACGGCTCAAGTATTTACTCTCTGGTCCTTTACAGAAAAAGTTTGCCAACCCCTGGGGTAAAGAATAATAGTCCAGACCCAGGCAAGGGTGTGGGCTGTAGTGGGCTCCATTCCCATCCATGCCTGATGCTGGGACCCCTAAGGTTTGCATCCTAGATATAAGTGTAAATTGAAATTATTATGGTCCTTGCAGATACTGAAGCCTAGCTTCAAGTCATTTGAATGGTTCAGAAAATTGTAATCCCTAAAAATTGGATTAAAGTAACCCCAGTTTGCTAGTACCCTAGGACCTGGCAGAAGAAATGAAAACACCATCTGGAGGAAAGTAACATCATCTCAGGTTTCAAAATATTTTTACAAATAATTTTTAAAAATACTATGTCTCACACACAACAAAAGGCAACCAAACACAAAAGGAGACAAGACAATGTAAATGAAAACCAGTAAAAACAACAGAAACCTTCAATGACACCAGATATTGTTGCTCTCAGAACAGACTTAAAATAGCCATGCTGAAAGAGATAGAAAGACACAGTTGAATTAGTGGACCAGAAGTTAGGTCAGAAGAAAATACAAAGAATCAAGCAGAGAAAACAAAACAAAACAAAAAAATTTCTAGAAAAATTCAGAAAAGTTGATAGAAGAACACAATAAAAAGATCTACCATATATAAAAAGATTACCAGGAGAGAAGAGAGATCCTGTAGAAGAAATAACAAAAAGATAATGGCAGGACATTTTTCAAAACTAATTAAAGATATTAAAGAAAGCCTTTGACCTCTAGGAAAGATAAATAAAAAGAAGTCCATACCTAGAGACAGCTGCTAAAAATGAAAGGCAAGAGAAAATCTTAAAAGCAGTCAAAAAAAAAAAAAGTACCTGCAACAAAGAAGCAACTATTTGATTCAAAGCTTACTTTTCAACAGAAACAATGTAAGTCAGAAAACAATAAATGGTATTTTCAAAAGAGGAAAGGAAAAAGTAACTGCCAATCTAGAATTCTATACATCACAAAAACAAACTTCAAGAATGAAGTTGAAATAAAGACATTTTCAGACATACTAAGACAGGAGATCTGTCACCAGCAGATCCGCACTAAAGGAAGAGCAGACAGAAAATGACCCAAGAAGAAAAGCCATGGAGGAAGAAATGAAGAGCAATGAAAACAGTAAATATGTAAGTCTAAAAGAATTTGCATAAAACATAAGAATAATGTGTTGAACTTAAAATACACAGGTAATTAAAAACATAATAACAACATCAACTACATCATATAATAGCTAAAGCATATTAAAGTCCTTGCATTATCTGGGAAAAAAATAAAAGTACCAATTAACAGACTTTGATAAACCACAAATTTATGCTGTAATCTTTAGGTTGACTACTAAAAGAAGAGTAAAAAAGTATAAAACTTCAAAACTAACAAAGGAAAAAAATGGAATAATACAAAGTAGCCAAAAGAAAAAGGCAAGAATGAACCAAAAAAGGAAAGAAAGAAAAGAAACATATGTCAGGTAAGAAAAATTAAAAGCACAAAATAAAATAGTAGATTTAAATCCAAATATATCAGTGATTACATTAAATTAAGTAGATTAAATGCTCTAGTTAAAATCTGAAGATTATCAGACTGTATTAAAAAAAGAAAACCCAACTATATTAAGTTTACAAAGCATGCATATAAAACATTCAGAATTCAGAAAGGCTGAAAGTAAAAAGATTGGCGTAAAAGACTTACCATGTCAGCACAGAGAAAACAAGTGTGTACACACCAATCAGTAAAGTCACAGAACTGAACAACTTAATAAACCTAAGTGATATAATAGACATACATAGAATTCACGATCTAACTACAGAATACTCATTACTTTAAAGCACATACAGCAAGACAATACATTTCCAAAGGGTTCAAATAGTTTATCTGACCTTTAAATTAATTTAAAATAAGTTTTCTGATAGTGCAGTTACAAAGAAAAAAACTAAAAATCCCTATGTATGCAGAATTTAAGAAATAGACTTCTATGAATAAAGAAGATATGGTACATATATGAAATAATGCCATTTGCAGCAACATGGATGGACCTAGAGATTATCATACTAAGTGAAGTAAGTCAGAAAGAGAAAGACAAATACCATATGATATCACTTATATGTGGAATCTAAAATATGACACAAATGAACTTATCTACGAAACAGAAACAGACTCACAGACATAGAGAACAGACTTGTGATTGCCAAAGTGGAGGGAGGTAAGGGAGAGATGGATTGGGAGTTTTGGATTAGCAGATGCAAACTATCAATATTATATATAGAATGGATAAACAACAAGGTCCTACTGTATAGCACAGGGAACTATATTCAATATCCTGTGATAAACCATAATGGAAAAGAATATGAAAAGAATGTATATATATGTATAAATGAGTCACTTTGCTGTACAGCAGAAATTAACACAACATTGTAAATCAAATATACTTGAATTAAAAAAAAAAAAGAAATAAGACTTCTAAAACACCCATAGCCCAGCCAAAGAAGAAATCACAATGAAAATTTTAAAATTCTTTGAACAGTAATATCAAAATCTATGGGATACAGTTTAACTCTGCCTATATTAAAGTTATAGCCTTATATGCATATATTAGAAAAAAAGAAAAGTTAAAAATTAAAGAGGTAAGTATCTATTTCAGGAAACTAGATAAAGAACAACAAAATAAACTCAAGGAGAAAAAAGAAAATAAACATTAGAAAAAAGAGGACCAAAGCCAAAATGTAGCTCTTTGAAAAGACTAATAAAAGATTTTAAACTCTGGCAAAATTGGTAAGAGAAAAAGAATTTACAAATAACCAAAGGCGGGAATGAAAAGAGGACATCACTAAAAATCTAGTAGACATGAAAAGGATAAGAGGCTACTATGAACAACTTTATGTCAAGAAATCTGAAATTTTACACAAAGTGGAGAAATTTCTACAAAAATCCAAGTAATTAATACTGTCAAAAAATAAAAAATGTGATTAATCTTATAAATTGAATCTATAAATAAAACCTTTACAGAGAGAAAACTGGAAGCCTACATGATTTCACTAGTAAACAAGAAGAAATAACACACAAATTCTTCCACAGAATTAAAAATAAGGGCTACTCTCCAACTCATTCTTAGAGGCCAGCATAAGCTTGATACCAAAACATAAGGACATTAAAAGGAAAGTCTATTATAGGACAATTTTAGTCATAAACAGGGGTGTAAAATCCTAAACAACATACTATAAATCAAATCAAGCAATATATAAGGAGAATATTACATCATGACTAAGTTGGATTTATTGCACTAGTATAATGATTTAACATTCAGAAATTCACTCATTGTAAAATGTCATAACAATAAAATTAAAAAGTCTCATGCACACCTCAATACATGCAGCAAAGGCATTTCATAAAATTCAATATTAAATCACAATTACAACTCTTAGAAAACCAGGAATAGAAGGGAACATATTTAATATCATCAAGCATCTATAAAAATTCTATAGCAAACATCATACTTAGTGCTAAAAGGCTGAAAGCTTTCCCTTTGAGACTGGGAACATGCCAAGAATGATCCCTATCACCACTTCCTTTCAACATAGCATTGAAGTTTCTAGCTAACGTAAGATAAAGAAATAAAAGGCAGAAGGATTATGAAAGAACAAATGAAACTATCAT